ATGCTACAAACATTTACTTCTAAATCGGTATAACTTAATTTTAATGTCACTACCTATTTATAATTGTTCCCTAACGGTCCATTGTATAAATTTACCATTATGTTTAATGTCTTTATTTACTAGTCTTATATGTATGGCCTAATTTATATTTTTTATTATTATTTTCCTATTTATCGGGGTGATTTGAAATATCCTTCAAGTTCCATAAAATTAATTTATACTTATTTTAGAGTAAGTAAATATATTTAAATATAACAGTGCCTTTTTTATTTTATACTGATTTATCGGCACTTAAAATTTCTAAATAATTTTGCCTCTAAATTGCAGGTGTATATAGCTAAGCTAATTACAGATACATGTTTAAATTTCATAGAGTTACCTATGTTTGTGCTGAACATTTATTAAATGGTTGATTTTCAAGTTTACTATTTAACGAACTGTGTATTTCTATTTGGAGTTTTGTAAGTTTAAATTTTTTAAATAATGATTGGCAAATCATTGAGTAAGAGACATTAAAATGTTGATTTCGCTCAATCAAATTTTGTATTTTTTTATATTTTATATCCTTAACCTACACTTTGTCAGTAAATTGTGCCAAAATTTAATTATTATATGACAGTGTTGACTGTCTTATAAAAAACAAATTTTGTTTTAATGTTTTGAAGTCTGATTAAATAGTATAGATGTAGTTATGTAGACGCTATATATGAATGATATTATTTTTGGTTATTTTTCTGACTATTTCGATTGTAAAGAATTAATAAAGTATTACTGTCTGGTTTATTATGATTATTTTCCAATCCAAGTTCAAGGATAATTACATATTACTATTTAAATTATATTCAGTGTCCCTTGAATTAATATTATTTTTTGTAGAGTATTATGCTTAATATTTTTTTGTTTATTTATTAGTTACCTAATATTATTGCATACACATTTAGTTACTAAAATACTCGAATTTTGTTCATTCTAATTTTTGAGAAAAAAATTAGATGTATAGAAAACTAGTCATCATTTAAAAAATGCTTTGTTTTCTACTGGTTTTTTTAAATTTATTTTTTGTTGGAAAGTTTGTTTAAAATACCGAAATATAAAAAATAAACGATCTTAATTACTATAATTTTTATAAATATAAACTAAATTATAGTTGGCATTAAATAAATTGTATTATTATTATTATTATTAAATTACTATCAAATATACTTGTTAACTGAATAAACCAAATTATTATCTTATAAAACAACTTACTGTTAACATAGTCAAGTTTATAATGTCAAAACTAAAAAACATTATGAAGAAATGTTTGATCAGTTAATTTAAGTTTTTGATTCACTTTATATAATTATTGGTACACACACACTTACACACACACAATTTATTAATAATTTCTAAATTTACAAATATTCATAATGTCATGAATGTTTGAAGGAAAAATTACATTGGTATGGTTAATAATAATTACATGCTATGGTACTTTTAACAAACGCATAAACCAAAATTTTTTACTGTCCAAAAAATATACTCACCACATCTGCATGTCTTCTTTTATACAAACGTTATGTTAAATATTTATATTATTTACCTGTACACATATTTGAACAAAATTATTATTATTATATGTACTTGTGGAGTATAATAACTATAGACAATATTATAATATAATAGTTTAATACTATAATATACTATAGAATAGTTTAAATAGTTTAAATAAAATATGTAATTCATTTGTATACAGTACATTTTTAAGTTACATTGTAAATTGTAATAATAACTTTATTTTATTCACGCAATAACAAATGAAAAAATAAATTTTATATTTATACGCCTTATTTATTGTTTATGAATTTATTTTGAATTGTGTATGTTCTATGTACTGGCACGAGTACGTATATTTTTTCTCTGTAAACTGTACAGTGTAAATAAACCAGTACAAATCAGCAGTGATGAATTTAAGGAGGAAGGGGTCAAACAGACCTGGGACCATCACCAAATGACCAAATGGTCCATTTAGCTGTATTAGCATATAGTTGTTATGTAATAGTTATAAGTAACAAAATTAAAAAAATGAATATGTATTTTATTAACAAATTTTTAGGTTTCTGAAACATATTCATTTTGATACATCATAAATAACTATTTTATACTTTGTAATTATAAGTCATCCAAAAGGGTGTAATATCTTATATTAAAGCCAATTATACTAATGTGACATGACATAATAACATAAAATACTTTTATACTATTCACTTATAAGAGTGATTTTTATAAATATGTATTTAATATTTTTTTGATAAATGATGGTTTAAAAAATTTAACCAAAAAATCCACCACTTCAAATTGGAACAGTTAAGTCACAACTCTCAGTTTCAAACTTATGAACTTTTTAAAAAACTTTTTTGATACAGTGTAAATACTCGGCAATTAATGCCATTCTTATAGTTTTGAAATTGAATACAGATACCTGTTCACCATAAGTTTACCATAAAATCAATTTAAAAATAAAGTACTTGTTTTCTTTCACAATGTTTCCCTGGCGAGACGCCAAGACCCAAAGGCAGGAATAAGTATATTTCAAATTTAATAACTAATTGATTTTTTAGTCTACTCGACGTTATTTTTATTATTACGAAAATGAAAAATTCATAACGAACGACTGCAGAGTTACTGGACATTTATCATTACATATCATAATATGAAGCCATACTTTACCCAAAATACTGATAACGTCGTCCCTTATACCTATATAGAATCTGGAATTGTATTTGAACCCGCATCAGATCGTCCATATAAAAACTGATTATCTTAGCAGACTAATTAATGAACTAAGTATACATCTCTAAAGCGGAGTTTTTCTGAAGCTAAAGTTTAAAATATAAAGTTAGGTACAAAGATGAATACTGGACAAGAACATTTTTTAAATTTAAATTTTTCATATTATGATAATTATTTATGATTAAAATGATGCCTACAGTGCAATTACCTCGTTCAGTTATAACATTAGGTGTCATGTTATAACTTATTTCTAAACTGAATACATAGGCTATTAAAATGCTTTTCAGAGACCTTTCCAGTTATTTTTCTTTGAGACATGTTTTCCTACCATCTTGTGCAACAACTAGCAGGGAATATTATTAAAGCATTAGTTTTATTACAATTAAATCATGATATAAATTAAGTAATGATTCAATTTAAATATTATAAATTATATTACTTTAGAATACAAATAAAGTAATAAACAAACATCATATATACCAGCACATGTGGGTATGTATACATACTTAATTAGAACCTTAAAATGTTGATTACACAAGAGACAGGAACAATTAATTGGTGAGTAGGTAGTAACACCTAAAAAAATTGGTTCTCATCTGTCTTACCGATATATGTACGTGTGAAAAATAGCAAGTAACAACAGACAAGTGATATAGATTTGACACTAGTAAAATAAGTCTAATAAATAATAAGAAGACCATGACATTTATTACTTCATTATACAAGTTATATTAATATCTTTGGTATTTTTTGTAAAAAAAAAAAAAACAATGTTGAATTATTTTCATTAGTGATTGGTTCAATAAATGTAAATGACAAAATAAATGTATCAATATTATTTTCATGCAATGTTAAAAATGCTTAGTTTTCTAATTTAACATTATGTTTGTTATAAACTTATAACCATGACCTATAGATATAATAATATACATATACAATATATAGGTATTAAAGTTAATATATTTTGTAATATATATGGTATTTAAATTAAAAATAATGTAATAAGTATATATATATATAATATACGAATGCATAACAAAAATAAAACATTTGAATTTGTTCTAATAACAGTATTATGTATATAATTCACTAATATAAAGTTAAGTAGGTACAATTGGATACTGAAATAATAATAATTATGTTTATTTATTTATTTTACATATTTTAATGATTATTAAGTGAAAAAATTAAACTTTTTGTAGGCATATTAATAATAAAATAACTCAATAACATATTAATGCCTACATTTAATATTTACCCTAATAATGATCATTAAACACTAAGTTATAAAAATGAAATCTGTTAAGTTTAAGTTAACAACTTGATTGGACTTAATATTGTGTTAAAACGTATATAAATGAAGTATTTAAATAACCAAAATTAAAAGACAAATATAAATATACAACATTTGTCACAAATAAAAGTAGACAATTTTATCTATCATATATAATATAATAACTTTTTTAAAAAATAATATGATTTTTAAATAATTTAATGGTTTTCAATCAATTTTTTGAATTGGCTTTAAAATAAAATTAGTAAAAATTAATGTTTTAATAATATATATTGTTATAATAATTTTAATAATTGAATAATAATATTTTTAATAAATCGCCTAAAAAATATTATAATACTTTATAGACTACATTTAAAAAAAAAGTTATTTACATAAAATGTTGTAGGCCAATAATAATAAAATGATGTACATAATGCTTTTTACAGTTTCAATATTACAATAATGTTTCCCATTAGAATATAATACAATTAATTAATATATTTAGCACATATTTTTTACGTATTTCCAAGATTAAGAAAAAAAGAAAACCTTATAATATATTCTTCTGTCTTAAGACATATGACTTTAGTATAAAGGTAAATATAAAAATTGTTATATTTAAAATGAAAAGATCCCAAAATTTGAATAGTATTTTTCTTAATGTTTAAAATGCTTCTGATGGATTATTTATTAATTATATTATATTTGAGAATAGTATAATAGTATAAAAGACAACAAAATTGATTAAAAACATAAACTCAACAATTTTAAAAATCATTAAAATGTCTTACACAACTAGAACATACATTATAAATTATTATAATGATAAATTCACAAAACAAATTTTATAACAAATAAAAACAAAAAAAAAATTCTCCTTAAAAATAAAAAATAATAATATAAATTACTGTCAATCAAGGTTTATTGGAGTATATTTATAAACTTTAACTAACTAAAAATAACGGAATTCTCCTTTTTTACCAATTCGTTCTTTTCGTACCCAATCGGCCGGTGCTGGAACCGGTGGTGGTACAGTATTTCTGGATGGATCAGAACTCATGCTTTGATCAACAAATTCACTTTTTATAGACTCCTGTAAAGTAATATGAATTATATAGTTACAACAAACTACAAAGTATTGTTTTAGATAATAGAATTCCTAATCTAGGAAACTCTTAACAGACAAATATTTCAAAAACTAATAACATCAGGAAATTATTATTAATGTACAGAAATCATACAATGTTGGTTGAATGATGTTTCTAACTGGAATAAATTCAAATCAAACTAATAAAAAATGATTGGTATACCAATTTAATAGTTAAGATACCCATATATATTACCTATCTATATACCCTTAGGTTTATATCATTAATTTGTCATACACGTAAACAATATTACTAATTACATTATTGAGCAGTAAAAGTTACTTACTTGTGTGTAATTTTGTGATTGTGAAGCTGACCTCTTGTCATACCCTTTAGCGTACACTGGATTTGTAAATATATCGTTTGAGTCCAGCATTGGATTAAATGGAGTAACAATAGTATGTGGTACATGAGCTACCTGTGAACGGTTATTTCGAGCTTTCCACCATTTTCTACTGTCGTCCAAAATCTAAAGTCAATGAAAGTGTAAGACTTACATAAATATTTATTACAACGGATAAATGGAAATTGTTTTAAATATAAAATGTATTTTTAACTTCTATTTATATTCTTAAGATTTAAAAAGGACGCCCCCATACCCTTTAAGGTTTGTAAAAAATGTACCCGCGAAAAAAATTAGTCATGCTATATTCATAGTTAAGAAACCAAGTTTACACACAACACAAAAAACAGTTATTTCTAGGACATAGACCATAATGTTTTAAAATCCTGTTATGTTTTTCATACTAGTATAACTTTTTTTGAATTAATGATATAATGCAAACGCTATGACACAGGAAATATTGCTTTCTATAACGTGTGTGAATTTGATTTCATATACTTTCATAAACATGACTATTATATAACTATGACTACTAAATATTTAAATCTTAATATGTTATTAATTATTATAGAGGACTTACTTCTAACAATTCACCACGTACAACAGATAGTTCTTTGTCATTATTTGCAGTTCTCGGATAGGTTACTTGAACTATTTTTACACCTCGTGCTCGCATGTCTTCCAACCACCTAGCTTGAGCTCTTTCAAATCTCTCACTTCCCGGCCCGCTTGCATTATTACGCTCAATCGAATCGGCAGATATGTCACTGCGTGCCGCCATATTATCTGCACGTTCTTTATCCATTCTTGGTGGACTATGAAGCGACAGTGTGTTAAAATCAGGTTCAGATTCGCCTTCCAAACTATGTGTATCATCTCTGAAAAAAAGAGTTTGATCTCAATAATGACAGATAAAGGGCATTTACTCAGACATAAATGCATTTATATAAATTATATTATTAGCTACTGACCAGTAGTAAATCTTCAAATCTTATTTAGGTACTAAGGCACAATTATTTAAAATAATTTTTTGTCGGTACCTACCTACTTATCAATTTTAGGTATTTCAATTTATTGTATTTTACATGCCTTTTAATACATAAATGAAAAGAGGACCATTCATATTTTTTCTTTATTAATCTGTATGATCACTTTTGTATACTCTGATGCCTTCTACTATAAGTTTGTATATTATTTGAAAAGGGTATATAAATATAAATTTACATTAATATCCTTATATATATATATATATATATACCTATATATATATTGAATCAGCAAATTAAAATTAAATTAAATTTTAATAAAAATTGTTTGCCTTAAATTATACATTTCCAATATATTGAGTTTCTTTAGTAAATTGACAGCATCTATTGCATATGATAATTGCCAAATTTAAGAAACAGCCTTGCAACATATTTGCTCTTAGCCAATTTTTTGGCTAATAAAGGAAACATTTTCTGTGACATATGTATTGACTGGAGGGGGGTCTATGAAAATATTTTAGGCCTAGCCTCTCAAACCTGGTCTCTACTCAGTTATGCCAATGTGACGCCAAGAAAAATACAATGACTTCCCTTCAATTGGAAACCAACTACTAAGAATTTAATTATTTAACAACTCAAATTTCTCTATAAATTAACAATTGAACTTACCTATCATCTGGTCCAAATTGTTCTTGATGATGGCCAGAATAGTTACCACCAGTATTAAATGTATACTGTGGTCTGATGCCCATCATAGCTGACTGTTCGTGTTCATATTCAAAATAGTCACTGCTATCATCACCTACACCAGCATGTTCTCGATCACGATGATGATATAAAGTGTCTCGCAATTCTCCCTAAAACAGATCATGAATTGGATACGAATAAACAATTAATAAATTTAAATACATTTTTTTTAATAATTTCGTTAAATGTTTACCTCAGGATTTGAATTTTTAATTTCGTCTCTTGATTTCTTTGATTCAATTGGACCGGTAGTCGGAACATTGATTAAATGGTCATCAGAAACTGGAATCGGATACTCTGGTGACCACCCATCCATAAAAATTGGATGGTAAGGAGCTGCATAGCCTTTCCATTGCTCTCTACCAAAAATGATTTTTATAATTAATTCTAAGATTGCAAAATGTTTGAAAAATGCCGTAATGAAATAGTAAGGGAATAACAAAATAATATCAGTAATTTAAATGTTAAAAATGTTATAAATACCTTGGTATAAGCCAAGCATCGCCTAAAGAATGCCATAATTCTGTTTCTTTACTGGTTACACAGTTCATCAAGAGATTAATTGCATCCCTTGTAAGTAAAGGTGAAACAACTCTAGATGGAATATTTGGTTTATATTGAGTGTCATGAGAAGCGTCAACAATCAATGCCAATGGAGTGAACAAAAAATGTACAAGTTCTGGAGCATTTGGGTCGTGAATGTGAGCTTTTAATTTAGCCTTGAAAGTAACAGACGTTAATAATAGTAGATTTTTAATAACTATAAGTAATATTATTAGAAAATTTATTCTATATTATAATCACAAATTTACCAAAAGATTAAACGAGAGTTTGAATTTTTGAAAGATATCAATGAACTCAATTTCTGGAGGTGGTTTAGCTCTCATTGTAAGCATTCCATCTCCTATGTCCTTCTTTTTGGATTTACGATTCCTTTACACAAAATAGTACTATGATTAGTAAGATTACAAATCAAACAAAATAAATAAATAATTATTATGAAATTACCTTCTTCGACGTTCCAGTTCTCTAGATGCAGCAGCTGCATGTTGTAACCTTGCAATGAATTTCTCAATATCATCAAAGCAGTGATTCAGTACTATAACATCTCTCTCATATTTTTCACTAGATGTTGAACTTGTTTCATCATCAACTCTAGTGATATTATCAGAGTCTAAAAAAATAAATAAATGATGAATTAAAACTAAACATTAATTTAATATGAAACATTTAATGGTTATATATAAATTATACTAATTATAAAATACTTTAATTCATAAAGTTATATAAACATTAAGAAAAAAACTAACGATGAGCAACAGCATTAAAAACAGACACTTGTTCTCGTACACTGACTCCATTTGGTGGCGGATTTGGAGGTGGTGTTGGGGGAGGAGGTGGTACATGTCTTGACTTTCTATTAATTCCTTTTCCAGACCTCAACAGCTTTAGGTCATCAACTAATTCTTGAGCGGGTACACTTTGGCTCTAAAAAATACAATGGTTCAAAAAATTAAAAACTAACCTGATATTGTATGACATGATCAATCTATTACAAACCCATAAACATGTAAAATATATATTATATAGATTAAATGTGAATAATAATTAAACTGGAATCAGTCAATATCTTAAAATAATTTTTTATTTCTATTATCATGGTAATTCTTTTTTCTTAGTATTTGCATGTCCAATGATTGATTTTCAACCACAATACTCCATGTCAAAAAACGATAAGTAGAAAAAATAGCTGTAAAAGTTGTGATATAATTTTGTAGATAGGTAAGTTTTCGAACTATAGATATCATTTATGTTAAAATAATCTGCTAAAAATTGAACTCAGCTTCATTTTATCATCACATTTTTAGCATATTATTAACATAAATGATACCTATCTATACTTTAAAGACTTAGCTACCTAGCTATAGTTTAAAGACTTAGCTACCTATAAAATGATATTGCAACTTTAAGAGCCTTTTTTTTTTACTTAGTTTTTTTTTTACATGGTGTTTGGTGGAGTGATTTTGTTGGGATATCAAAAAGTTTTTGTTGATACCTTATTATTTCTGGAACATATTGATTTTACAATGAAGTTTTTTTTCTTTTTTTTAGATCTTCTCCTGACAATTACGAACATCTTAAAAAAAATTTGAGCCAAATCGGTCCGGCCGTTCTCGAGTCTTAGCGAGACTAACGAACAGCAATTAATTTGTATATGTATAGTCGTATAGAAGATAGAAGATTAAAATAATCTAAGTTTTAAATTGAATTTAAAATACATTTTCGCAATAACAAACCATTTATTTTTTTTTATTTTTGATAAAGCAAATTATTGATTATTATTAATTATTTTCTGTTTGAAAAATATTAATTTAAATTACAAATGATTATATAGTTGAAGATCAATAAATATTAATTTGGTGGAATCGTGGAATTGATTAGTTCCAATAATTTAATTCCTAAGGAGCTATACATAATATAGGACAAGAGGAAAAGACTTAAAAAACTTTCAAGGTATTATCTAGTATTCTAGTTCCTACATTACCTATATAGTTATATTTTTTTCTATAGAATTGCTAAAGCACATGTAAAGTGTTTTAAATCTATAACCTCTTTTCTCTTACTTGAAATATGTGCATCTCCGATCGTGAATCAACTTGACCAACTACGAATACTAGAATATTGTTATAAATTTCCATTGGATCGTTACTCGTAAAAGCAGTAGGTTCTTTCACTAATGAAATTGGAAATCGTTCCATTACAGCCTAAACCAAAAATATAGTATAAAATAATATAAACATAATTCGACATCAATGTGATTTCACTTACACCAGTTTCAAAATCCATTATCAAGACCCAAGATTGATCGAGACGAAGTTGCATTTTTTGTGACCAAATACCATTCGATTTTTCAAGGTGTAATAGTCTCCTCATTCCATCTGCTGGGTAAACTATACCAGTACTTTTCGAGACTGTAAATGTGGCTAAATGTTCGATCACGTAAGTTGGGGCTGAATTATTTTCATCGCTGTTCCTCTCCTCGCCAGCGATACTTTGTTGGCCTCCATCTTCGAAATTTAAACAAATATAATTAATTTCAGTGGTCTAAATACTAAATTTTTAAACTACTAGTATGATCGTGTACCTGTTGAGTATCCATTTGAATTGACGCTGTTTCGGTGGTACGGCATTATTGGTTTTTCGTTAAGCTCTCTGTAATATAAATGTTCAATTTTGATATTTGTTAGAAATACATAATATTATGAAATATACCTTTTGTTATTATTTCCTGGTTGTTGCATCGACATATCTTTCAATCCAGGCATTTCTTAAGGCAGTAAATTGAGGCAACATCTAAGCCTAAAATAAAAATATGCACATTAATTATGTTTATGTTACCGCCAATGATGATAATTAGGTATAGGTATTGTTAAAAATGACTAGTCTATGTTAACACTGACTGTTATACATAGGCATTGATATTATTGGCTAGTCATTTTAGAGAATACCTAACTAAGATAGACAATAATAGAACAAATTTAATATTAATACATAATTTCTATGATTGAGCAGTCATTGTCATTATTGACTAAACTATGTAGCCATTGATAATTTTAGATATAATATATTATATTTACTATTTAAGAAAAAACAATGAAAAAAAAATATAAGAAACATATATTCCTCTTTGTTTAAAAATGATATATTATCTTCACTTTCATTTTTCAATAAATCAGATAATGCGTTGTAAAATTTTTGACGCATTTCATTTGAATTTATTTTTTTAATAAAACAATTCAACACTTCGAAACGAAAAACTATACGAAACTATAAACTATATTATACGAAAATACAACGTAGACTGTAACAATACTTATGTTATAGGTTAGTTGCCGTGAGTATTAATACTATAAAAGATACCTATTATTATTCGTTATAAAACAGATACCTAATCTTAACGTGGGTTTTTAAAGTTAAAACGATAAAAGATAACATTGACTAGGTAGGTACAAGAAGATAGGATATGTTATAATAACTAGTGAATCTATCAAATTATAACATCGTCTGATTTATCAAGTCAATGTTACAAATATATATTGATTATAGATACTGACCAAGTTACCAAGGCATTATATTAATTGGCTAGTCAATATCATCATTGCCTGAATTTACGACATTGACGGTAACATACATAGACAAAGAAAATAACATGGTAACATATATATATATGATTGATTTGATAAGGTAGGTAGGTTATGAATATTTTTTTAGATTCATATATTTCAATTAATTATATTCAAACATCATGTTATCAAAATTAAATTTTAATTTCAATGTTGTATAAGTAGATTACACTTAGAATATTTTTACAATTGCTTAAACATAATACACGGGTAAAATATTATTTTACAGTAGTGTAACCTGTGTTATATGGAACCCATCTTTTAAAGGAAAAAGTTACGATCCTGGCAAGCCTATTAATATTTTGAAATAGGATTCTACGTCAAATAAAATGTGACATGGAACCGGTCTAGAAATGGAAACAATATTTTGTAATTCATACATAATTCAACTAGTATCAAGGATATGATAATTAATATATGGTGAAAAATGATTATTATTATAAAAAAAAATCTGACTCGTTAAAAAGTTAACTAAGTGCTAGAACAAAAATTTCACTACTTCTGGAGTGCCTGGACTGTTTTTATATAGGCTAAAGCACGTCAAACCGCTGAAAAACTGTCAACACCGAATTTTAAGACTCAAATGGATGACTGGTCGGAGAGTATTAAAAGTCGACATAATATTGTTCGCAAGTATTAGATTAGCATTAAGTCAAAATAATATTGTCGATGTTTTAAATTTTGATGACGGTAAGGTAAAATTAAATCAATTATTGAAGGACCCATGATTTGTTAATGTCACCTTTACTTTATCAATCTATAGGAATTTACAGCTAATATTTTTGTAATGTTTTTAGGATTTTCGGAAGTAAATATTAGATCATAATAACTAATAATAACTGATGACATATTAACATTTATATCGTACACGAATATCGATATATAATATATTTGTTTTACTAAATATATAATATTTTGTTACCATTATGTATTTACACCAAAGCTAAACTAACAAAACTTTTTATTTTATTTAAAATTATTCAAAGGTATAGGAATACCTATAGGATTATAACTAGTGAATAATATAATTATATTATTTAAAGTGGAAGTCTTATAATTTAATCTATATTTACTAATCATAAAGAAGATATACAAATCCGATACATCAGACACAATATTAGTAAATTTGGGAAAAATTGGTTGGGCAACATACTTAGATTGTGTTTCAAATGTGATAGGTACTCAAAATATCCAACTTATTAAGCCCCTACATGCTCAGGTTTATCGAAAGTGCAATCATTCGCTTGGCCACAAAAATTTAAATCCCCATGTTTTACGAAATTTGTTTATATAAAATACAACAATATTATGGTAGTGGATAGTGGCTACCTATCATAGATCATAATATAATAATTATAAATAACTAATAAAATCAACTATCATCATGATTACAATTATATGGGTACGCACTTAAATTATTACTATAGATTATAGAGTAGGTATAGTAATGTTATGTAATATGTTATACAATATAATAATCTTTATCACCCCTCCCCTCAAGACATATGAGTTCCCACTATAGTCTGTTCATTTTAAGAAGCGATTCAGGCGGCCACTAGTAAAACCGGTTTTCAAGCGTAAATCAGGTCGCTTCTTATTTTGAACAGGGTATACAGTACTACTGGTTACTTCAATTAATTATAAATACTGTATTTATAAGTTATAACCAATGTATTATGTATATTGTATTTGTGTAGTAACAAAATTGTTGCCCGTCCCCTCTCTGGATCCGTGAATATGATTTGCTATTAACATAGTATTTATCTATATTATATTCTATTGTCGTGTAATCCTGGGACCTATATCAATTCCGATACCAGCTGTAATTCTATAATTTAGAGTAGAAGACGGAGTTTCGGTTTTCGAGATAGGATAATATAAGGTAATACTACCAAAGAAATTATATTACCTCGTAATATAACCTCTATATAATTTTGATTATTACAACAAATAGGTAGGTATATTATAAAATACAATTTTTAAAAGTATTTAATTAATTTTTTCTTTGAGACATTATTTTAGAAATGAGACATCTAGGTAGTAATAATTTTCTTATCACCTATTCAGCTGTATTTATGTAAGAAAACAATGTTCGATAGATCAATAAGCAATAATAAAATTATTACTTTTCCGAAAAATATAAAGTTTGAACCTTCAACCTAATATAATATTTTTGTTCAACAATAATCATTTAAATGTTCAACTATATAGAATAAGAAAATAATATCAGTTTAATAATATTCAAATATAATTTATAAAATTATAAATAATACAAAACAATTATAGGTAGTACAGTATGTGGGTACATTTTTTTTTACGTTCAATGATATGAAAAAACAGGGGGAAATCGCTATTTTGTATGTTTCGAGTGTACCTCTTCATTGATTAGTATATATATAGGTATATGTGGATTTTTCATTTGAAAGCAATGATTAATCATTCTTATTTAATTATGTTTTCAGTACCTATGTTTAACACTGATTAAAAATTATAATTTAGTACAATCTCAAAAAAAAATATTTAACACTCTATCACCTTCAATAATATATTAAGTAGGTACTAATTAATTACGTATTCGGCCTACATTTCAGAATTCAATCTTTTATATGACGAATTAATTATCGCTTTAGATAGTTTTATCTAATAAGAATTAATATTAAAATATATTTCATATGCATTTATCGACAATGTTCAAAATTAAACAATTAGCTATATCTCAAAAGCACCAATAAGATAAATGATTTCCTATTGGAAAGTGGGTACACAAATACCGATAGGATCAAGACTTCTGATCAAAAAGTTGTTCACAGAGAAAAAAAATATGATCGTAAAACCACTATACTTCCCTTGCTCCGTTCCAAACAGCAAAATAAACAGGTTTTATATTTTAATTGTTAAACTTTAATTATTTAATAACCAATATAGACCCTTACATATTATATAAAATCGATTTATCAGCTATACCTAGTACCTACTGTTCAGGCACTATACTATATTATTATTTTGTTTTTCATAAAACACCGGCACTCGGGGATATTACTTTCGCATTATTCAGACAGCCGACATTCTTTATTGTTCGAAACAATTCGTTCCATTAATAATATATTAACGATAATTATACATTTAACTGCAACTCCAATAATAATACATTAGTATACTAACTATAGTAGGTATATAATTCTTTCACTTTCTTTGACATTGCAACACTCATAGGTTTCCTTGAAATATTCTACACCAACTATTTCGGGACAAACTGTAATAAATTTAATGTTTAAAAATGTAAATATGCGGTACAACCATCTCGGTATTTCATTAATAAAAACGTTCATATTATTTTTTTTCTTCAAATGCATATGTAGGTATTTTACTATTTAGTATTCCAACGCCCATTAACACTGTTATATTGTACCTACCTATCGTAATCGTATTCGTATATCTAAGAGAATGTGTAATTGGCATGCCGTTTACTATCGTCACCCATCCGGAATGTAGCTATGCTTGACACGGTTCAACTCTAGACCTGGAATACATAATATTATTATACCTATCTACACTCTGCAGTAGGTATATAATAACCAGTTGGACGCTGTGCCATGCAAGTTAGGTATCTACGTATATGTCTGCGTACCTATACATCTAGTTTATGATAATAATATTTTGAAATGCGATTTTCTCTCAAAATCTCGCCTATAAAATCTGTAATAACATATTTTCTGTATAAAATACTTTATGATATATAAAGCTTATTTTAAAATACAAAGTACAATGAGCTCCAAGTATAATATAATTATAATTTATAGTAGGTAATATAATAATACTATTATTTAGGTATTTGATATTCATATACATTTTGAATTATATGTTGACATATTTTAAACTAATACAATACCTAATTATGGTAGTTCATAATACTACATGGGTAGTTATAGTTTAAATTTATGATTTGATTCTATTACCTATTAAGTACTTCATATAAACTAAAACATCAGAATATAATACCTATCACACACACGGTGATTTCAATTATTATATTATTATAAACAAAAACGACTAACGGCATGTAAACAACACTTTAAAAATGATTCGTACTCCACGTCGTTTTGAGTTGATGGAAATTTATTGAACACAAAAAAAAACAGATGCTAATAAATGTTCTTCACGGATTAGCTCGCATTTGTCACGTACAAATTTAAAACAGGCATGCAACTGAATATTGATTGATAAAATATAAAATAACGGTAGTCACAGTGTTCTGTTAAAAGGTATAAATAGTGTTATGAATAACATTTTTAAAAGTATGCAACGGATGTTACTGTATACCTAATCGTAGCATATTGCCGTATTGGTATATAGTAATATAATAGGTAGTTTGTAGATACCTACCTACTCCAAGAGGTGGGTCAACAATATATAAAAGCAGGCTCGTGTATTTTAAGCCAACATAAATATGTAAAAATTACTCATTAAATATTATTATACGTATTATACATATGGGTGTACATCGTACATGTACATACATATATTAGTTTTGTTCTAACGCACTCGTATAGAGGGAATATAACTATAAATTATATCTGTTTAATTTTTTTTCTAAATAAAATTGTAAAATGACGTCACATTTGTAAGAAACAATATATACCTATATTATGTTTATTTTTCAGTTACACTATTATAAACATATTGTTCTTTTTTGTGTTTATGGCATTTTTATTTTCAAAAACTACATATAGCATAATATAACAAGTATAAAAATGTCAACGTGATTCTAATGAAACAAATTAATGTGCAAAATGTTCACTGGTAACTTTACATATATTACCTATATGAAACATAATAGTTTAACCGTTTGTTTGAATACTTTACAACACTCATGTATTCTCATACAGTGCGTTGTGCCAATATAATATTATTTTCTGAATACGTTGCCAACAGATTCCTGTGCGGTCGTATTAAATCAGAGGTCATTATCATTTCATTAGATATTTTAATCGAGTAGGTACCTACGACCAAACTAACCTTACTAACCTTTAGGTAAAAGTTACGGAAATTAATAAGATTCTATAATGCATAGGTACGGGAATACTTACTTGTGGAAGACAATTTTATAAAATGTAATAATAGGTGGGTATAGTAAAATGTGTCATCGTATAGATAGGTACAGTTTATTACTAAATAAGAGTATTATGAGTAGAATCGACCAGCGAGGTGTGACTTGTGTGACTTGTGAATGCCTATATGGCTATATATTATGTATAGGTACGTTACACATTTCGAGTTAACCAACATTTGTGGTCTTTGCATGTGATTTATATCCAGTTTTATATATTTTAGTTTTTTAATGTTTACGTATTATTTTTCGAATGTTAACATGTGTAACATAAATGTATAATAACATAACTATAGGTACATAACTTATCAGTTCATAGGCGCAATTTGGGTTAAATTTATGGGGGTGCTAGATTTAAGTTGACCAAAGTGACTCGTGGGGGGCTTTGCCCCCCACACCCCCCTACGGCCTTACCACAACACCATTTATACATTCATCGCATTAACTTATTAATCTATAATTTATAAGAAAATAATATTAAAGAAAATAAAACACAGATTCAAGGTACCTATATAAATACAGGTAAATACATTTTTTATTTTTATTTAATTATTATATTAAAGATATACGTCTTTGAGTCAAACCAAAGTTATTTATAATTTTATCTTTATCAATTTTAGTGCTAAGATCTCTCTCAATACTGATAACTGACAAATCGGTAAATTTCGATTGTCCCATACTTGTCCTAAGCCAATTCTTTATACGACGCATCGACGAAAAAGACCTTTCACAAGTAGCCGAGCTTATAGGAATTGTCAATCCTACTTGAATAAGTTTAAATAAATTTGGAAAAACATCTTTAGTCACCACTTTCTTTATTCCTTGTATATCAAAATCCAAATTTCTATTTTGTATACAATTTCTTGTCAGCAACATTTCAGCTTTTAATGACATTAAATCAATATTTACAACATCCTGAAATTATATCACCCTCACGTGATTATTTTATTTACAGAATTAATCTATATTACATTAACTAACCTTGTAATGATTAATGAAATATGAACCTTTTTCAAAATCCATTTTCATAAATTTGTCTAATGAGTTAGCTAAAACTAAACTTTCATCCGAAAAACGGTACTTTAAATTGACAATAACAGAATCAATTATTTGAAAATAAATGATTTTCCAATGCTCATTGCCAATTGTTCTACATTCCGACTCACTTTGTTGTCCAGTTAAGGTCTCAAGATTATAGCTCTGTAAGTGATGTGGCTCTTGGCGTTTACGTTTAGATTTTGTTCCTAAGGATATAAAAGTAAAAACATTAATACTTAGGTATTAAAGTTAAAAATATCTTATTCTTGACACATTTTTAAATTATTATTTCTTACCAGAGTTTGATAATTCCAATGTTATTTGGTTTAACTGTGCAAATTCCTTAATTTGTTCCCAAAGCTTAAAAAAACTATCTTCATTCCTCTGATTTTCAAAAGTAGAAATTACACTTTGAATTATATTACTTGATGTTCCCAAGGTAGCAGATTTAGATTGAAGTTGATTGCTTAAAACATTTATAATGGATAACACTTCATTCAATATATGAAGAACTATTATAAATTCTAATTTATTAATAGAACTTAAAATACCTACAAATCAGAAAAGTGAACATTATTATTATTTTATTTACTATATATAATTTAAAAAAAACATTTAAATTAAAGTTTTATAATAATACCTAATGCACGTGCTACATCTTTATCTATTTGTTCTTCGATTTCATCATTGAGAATATTAAGAATGCTAGAATAATTTTTCAACATTGCAACACAATTTTTATATCTGCACACCCATCTTGTATCACATATTCTTAATACATTTCCTTTATTTAATCCTAAATTTCTTTGCATTTCACATAATTTTTTATTTTTTGATGGTTGCGAAAAGTGTACATATATTGCTTCAAGCATATTAAAAACATTTTTTGCATTCTGAAAAATATAATAAGACATTTTTTATTAATATCTACAAATATATAGATTTTATGATTTTGATTTGTTTTAATATTACCTTTATTGTCTTACATGTATCTACAACTACTAAATTAAGGCGGTGTGCCATACAGTGAGTGTATATAGCGTATGGATAGTGTTCTTTAATTCTTGATTGAACACCGCGTAAGTGTCCAGACATAACACTGGCGCCATCATATGATTGTGCAATTATTTTGATTTTAGACATAGTCAGTTTTTGTTTTTCAAAACATTCAAACAGTGCAGTGACAATATGGTTGGAAGTTTGTCCTTTTGAAACATCAACAAAACACAAAAATCTTTCATATACATCCAAGTCAATGGTGTATCTCACACAAATTGACAATTGTTCTTCTCTATAACATCTACAATTAAATGACAATTTAATTAGTTTTGACGCATTAAAAAATAAGAGTTTTATAAGAAAAATGCATAAAACAAACCTAGCTTCATCGCACATTAAAGCAAAAAAACCAATCTTTTCAATTTCTTTTACAATAGTTTCTCTGATATCCTCTGCACACAATTGAATTAATTGATCTTGAATAGACCAGCTAGTATAATTTGTTGTTTCATCAAATTTGATTTTGAAATCCGGCTGATAATTTGATAATAATTTACATAATTCCTTAAAATTACCTGAAAATGTTAATGTATATAGATATACTCTTGAAAAAATAAACTTATTATTTATAAAAATAATTAAAATATTACATAATGTTATTAAATATAAATGCAGTTTAAAATTAACTTAAGAGTACCTTGGTTTAGAGAATCTGCATCTTCTCTGTGGCCTCGATAGGCAATACCTTGTTTCCCCAAAAATAATATGATGTCAATAAGCGTACCAATATAGGTACGGTTTTTGGCCACTTGTTCCTTATAGCCACTACACTGCTTTACCATAACAGAACCAGATTTCTTACAAGCCAAGTACCCAGACATCTTAGATACACAAACTAAATGTCGCTTTGTTTTGTCATGTTTTTTCAGTTTTTCATTAAGCTAAATAGACAAAAAATTAAGTACATATTTTATGAAATATAAAGGTATAATATATACCTATACTCTAAAGTTTGATCTATTTTTATTTTTTTTAGTAATATTGTTCAGAAACCAAAATAGTCAAAATATAAACATACTTTTTGCCAGTTTGAAAATCCTTTTTTTGTCCAAACATCATCAATAAGTTCATCAGCAAACATTCTACATGCATAGCAAAATGCTGCGTTGCTTTTCATACTATACTCCAACCAAGTATATTGTTTATACCATTGGCTACTAAATGATCTGTTTTGCGAACCAAATCTAGTTTGTTTATAAATCTACATGATAGTGTAATTTATTATTATACTACAATATATACAAATAAAAGTATTTTAATTTTTAAATAGGTAGGTATTAAATTATTAAATTATTAAATGAATAATATTAATACCTACTAGCTACGATAAATAATAAATATAATATAAATTGCTGACAATTATCTAATAATGTCAATATTATTGTTATTAATTTTACCAATTATTAACTTACATTTAAAACAGGACGGCAAGGTCCAGTAGCGAGATTTCCCAAATCGGAATGTTGGAGATTATTTTCGTTGTGTTGAAAAGGTAATGTTTCAACAAAATCAGTATCAGTTTGATTAACTATAACGTCATCTTTTTCTACAATTTCAATGTCCGGGTCATCAACAACCTCAGAATTCATCTAAAAAAATTTAAAAATATAACAATAATTAAAATTATCATTAAAATGATTATAAAGAATGTTTTTTTCTGTATTTAATAAATATCAAAACTTACTTCTTGGTGTTTATCATTTTTTGACTTTTTTTCAAAATTGAAAATATTAAAAATCTTTTTAGTATTTTCCATTATAAACTTTAAAGCAATAACAACATTAACAACTTGAGTAATAATAATATTATTCAATTTTCTTAGCAAGGGTAAACAGTAAACGCCTAACTTACACCTTACACGTACCACGTACGACGCACAGGATTCACGATTCAGACACTTGAGTGTGGACTGATGGTGGAACGTGTGTGTTTTCACAGAAAAATGCAATCGAAATGGTCACCTCGGAGTTCGGATCGACAATAAATTGATTACGCGCGTTCTATTTTTAGACGATTTTTGTATTTACCAGATTCGTGAAAGAAATTGATAAGCTAACGGGATACTCGAATATTCGATATCGATAGACGTTTCGGCGTAATCGTTATCGACTATCGTTCTATGAAGTATAAAATCTTCTTGTGTTATTAATACATAGTAATATGTTAATCAATATAAACAATAAATTACCCATAATATTATATAAGATAGGTATTATTATATAATATTTATATTATTATTATTATGAAAGTGAAAAGTCTTAGAAATAAATTTATTCTAATGCCTATGACATAATATGATAAGTAATAACAAATAAATTTTGGGGGTGCTAATATGAAATTTGGGGGTGCTAAGCACCCCCAAGCACCCCCCAAATTGCGCCAATGTATCAGTTATCTAATATTTTATCCGTCAGTATTCGGTTAATATAATTATATGAATTTTATATTTTATATTCGATTAATTATTAATATGAAATTAATTGAAAGTTGGGAAGTGTGAACGACCGCCGAATGGATGATATTGACGCGGATGGTGGAGGATTAGAGACTAGAGTAAATCATAAAGAGAAATCGTTATCGTAAAAGTGTTTCTTATCGAAATTTATTCGTCTCCCCACCCGGCAGCTAATTTTTCGGTTCCTGGATTTTTGTCGAATAGCATAAATTAGCAATTAATAATAATATATAGGTACTTAATACTATATTATACATTTTGAAAAACTAACTTTCATTTTCAATTGCATTTAATTGATTGGTGTTTGAAGGCCTAAATTAATTTTAAGATTGTTTATTGCGTTTGATGTTATTATTATAATGTTTGTTATAAGTAGGTTTACTTTTAAATTTCAAAATATTTCAAATTATCAAGTAAGATAATATTGTTTCTTAAATATTGAAGACTATCCTAAAAATGTATTAAGTACTTTGTGGTTAGTATAATATACCATTTAACATTTTAACTAAAATTATTTATCACGCTTTAGTACCTACTCGTAGTAATAGTATAATGCTAAATGTTTTGCGTTTATTTTCTTATCTCGAAAATCAATTATAGTTGTTTTTATCATAAAAAAACTTCTATTGTTAAAAATAATTTTAATAATTTTATTATACAATTGAAATATTTAACAGCTCATTCTTTTAAATGTTATGTACCTATATTTTTAATTAGAATTAAATTTCGTATGTTTTCACTTTTGAATCTTTTGATGCATTTACTGTTTTAAATTATTAATTAATTATGATTTCATACCTACTATAATATTATATCATTATACGAGTTGGTAGTTAATTATCTAAAAATTCAACAATACTTGAATAATCTAAAATCAAAATTACTTTTAATATAATATACAGCAATTCACTGAAAATAATGCGATAAGTCTCGAATAAAAAAGTGAAAAAACTAAGAACACTTTATTTTGCATATTATTTGCAGGTATACTATATTATGCTTATTACTTATAAGTTATGACCTAATCACTGATTAGTACGAAATGTTGAGACTTTGAGAGTGAATTATATAGTGATATGGTAGCTTAAGACTTTTGGTCGACTTAGTTTTACACGTCATGTGGTTAAAATAGTATTTATATTTAGGAATATGAGTAAGATACCAGTGTTAAATATTTTTATATATTCATTAAATTTAAATCTTATTTTATTCAGCTAATAGGTAGGTACCTGGTACCTATATATTATGTACATTTTGTTATTAATACGGTTTTTATAAAATAGATGGGCAGTGGCGCATTTAGGGGGGGCAAAGGGGGCAATTGCCCCCGGCGGCAAATTTATAGGGGCGGCAGTTTTTGTACCTATATATTTATTAAAAATTATAATAATATAAAATATATAATTTTGTAATTTGTTCTAAAGTAATGTTAGCCGCTAGGTACCTAACAAAATATGAAGCAATTTGAAAATAATATGTAATTTACATAAATCATTTACACATACGAAATTGATCGCTAAACAATTTCAGGTTTGTTAATTGTTATGTTATAAATTCAGACTGCCTATGGGCTATGAAAACATAAATCTATTATTATTATTTATTACGTTGGCAACAGTGACATAAATTATAAGATAAGTACATATTTTGTTATCTTAGATAGAATCAAAAATGAGCTAGAAAAAAGAAAAATAGCCTATGGAGTATGGGCTATGATCAGTTATTTGAAAAATACTCGTTTTTCTTTCAATTGGAAAAATTGAACAGCGTAGAAATCAGAGAACAGGCAAAATGTCTTCAAGATATATATGCAGATGATTTAGGAAGTTCTTTTCCCAATGAATGTGTTCACTTTAAGTCACATATAAAGAACCTCAAAGTTGATGAAAGACCTAAAAATATTCAGCAAATGCTTATATTTATCAAAAATAATGATTTTTCTGAAATGTATCCTTACATTGTTATTGCGTTAAGAATGTTATTATGTACACCATGTAGTAACTGTTCCACTGAACGGTCTTTTTCAGCTTTAAAAAGAGTAAAATCATACCTAAGATCAAATATAAAAGAGGAAAGATTAAATGCGTCGGCAATCCTAAAACGACATCTGAAAACGACATTACAACAAAACTAAATTATAATCATGTTATTAATAATTTTGCTACTAGAGTACTAGACAAGCACGAAGAAGATTTTAAAAGCTGAAAAAGACCTTTTGGAGGAAAAGTTTTTACATAACCTCAATGTTTAAATGATGTTTAATAAATTTACATATACTATTTATTTTTATTTTTTTTGTAGGGGGGGGGGGGGTAGGGGCGGCAAAAATACGTTGCCCCGGGGCGCATATTTTCTAAATGCGCCACTGTAGATGGGTACTTTTTTCAATTTTGGCTGTTGAGCGAGGGTTCGATAATGTCAATCATAGTATTATAATATATATATTATATAAATTAAACTTTTTGTCTTAATTATTATTCGCAGCTATTATTCCCTAACATAAAATTTCTAAAAGTGCTGCGCCTACTTTACACACTTTCGTAAACTATAATAACGCAATTAAATAGTATAATAATTTAAATATAAACATTTTTTTTTACAAAAAATTAAAAATTAAAGTTATTGTCTTGTCCTCGGAGGAATGTCACTACGTTTTTTGTTTATAATAAATTCAATCGACTCATTAATTCAACAGACCAAGCCGAGCCCTATAGTAAATAAAGTGCGAGAATGAAATGAACATTATAATATTATACAACTCTTCACGCCATACACCTAGTATATTATATAGTAGGTACAGCTTGGTAAAGGTAAACATTTCCATTTTATCCTCGACATACTGCGGAATAATATGATAATGAACCCATAAGGTATACAAACACATTCACATTCACCCGAGTAGATTTATTTACCTACATCCGAGGGCTATTTGGACCGATTATAGTATATATTATAATACATTTATACGTATACTTTAACATATTATAATATGCAGATATGTAGTATATCCAAGAAATGGTAATTAAATTTAGTGTTGTTTCGTGATGCAATATATTATTATATATGAATGCCAACACAAATGGTCTTCAATCTTCATACTATAATACTAATAGAAATAGAATATAGTGCCAAAAACAGATTAGATACACAAAAAAAATCAAAATTTGACCAATAATTATCTAAAAATGTAAACAATTGTAATCTATGTAATCTACATACAACTATTATTTTGTAATTGGTATTTAACTAGCTTATGTCAGTACCAAACTATATAAGATGAACTCAAAAGATAATAGGTGGTTATTTTCTGTTATTTTTATATTCTTTTAGTAGGTACCACTGTACCAGGTACCTATATAAAAATGGTAATATTAATTTAATAATATTAGTATATAATAGGTTATATGTAATATATAGTTTATAATATAATAGTTGAAACATATCCTATATCGGCCATACCCACAGAGGGTACACACATAGAAATGGGAATATAGGTATTTAATATTATATATAGACAAGTATACATCACAACGAATGCCTACCTATATAAGTACAAGCAACAAGTACGTACCTAAATACATAATATCGAACAATAAATATTAAATATAGTGACATATTATGAAAATAATTATTATTATTATGCCATACGGAATGAGTAAATAACAACATAATAATGGATACCGAAGGTCATCAAAATGCCACACCTATATGTGCGCGGATCGTTTTGACATTCCAGAACGTTTTTCACCACCACATAATGCATACCTATATAATATACCTATATATATAAATATACATATATGTATATATTATGTATACATCACAACCTGAATTCGTGAATACAATATTACATTGTATGGCCATATGGGTATACATCAACATGTAGCTGGATATATAATATAAATAGGCAGTGGCGTATTTAGGGGGGGTGTCCTGGGGGTTAAAACCCCCCCCAATTTTTTTCTTAGTTATATTCATTACTGAAGTATCACAAAATACGAATAACGAAATATTTTAAAACTGCTTTGAAAAATGAAAATTGAATAATTTATATTTTATATTTTCATCTTATACCAGATAATAGTCAATAGGTATTAGCATTGATTATATATATTGCGTATATATATATATAAA